GAACCCGCCACCTTAGGTGTACGTGGCTGGCGCTTTAGCCGGTTGAGCTATAGGCGCCGAGCCAGAGCCCAGTTCCTTTTAAGAGCTCACCGGATTAGGTTAGGCTCACCCAGGACAATATCCCTTGGGATTAATTCAAAGGCAGTTCATTTGGAACCTTAATTACATCTGCAAAATTCATTTTGCTATACTAGCACAACCTAATCATGGGAGTGATATCCCATCACGTTCATAAGCCCCACCCCCACGCTGAAGGAGAGAGATTACACTGGATGTGTGCTGGGTGGTACCTGCAAACTCAACTCATCCAATTCAGTCCCCCAGGAGATGGAAGAACTGAAAACTGAACTCAACCTTACCTAGTCTGATTTGAATTTCCAGATGTTCTACACCGGAAAGGAAACAGATTAGAACTTCTGTGTTGGGCACCAAATGACAGGTGTAGGGATAGTCTATCCTACTCGGCATTCTCCAGTCTCATAGCTTAGGTCACACGGTATTCAGACTTTTATAAAGAAATTGTTAAGGGAAAGTATGTCATCACTATTTTAAACATTTGTTCAATCATAAAAAGCACTCAAGAAAGATTCTCACAATGAATTAACTTGCTAGGACAAAGGATACTTCCAGTAATTGTGTTCTTTAACAAACGAAAATCTAGTGAAACAATTAGCTTTTTTAACATTCCCTTTTCTTTTGGAATAATTCATTCACTTTAAGTTGGTTTTCTTAGACATGAATGTGCTCTGTGAAAGTAAGATTAGAACTGTTTAAAAAAGGAAAAAGTCTTTATAGAGACCTGCATCAGGATTTCCAGTATTAATACTAATTAACTTTGAATTAAATTCTGATGCCTTGAAATCTATTATTCCAGAATGTCCTTTGCACATTTCCAGGTAGTTCTGGAGGTATGTATATGCATATGTATTAAAAATCTCACTGATTCTTTTATTCCCTTTTGAATATGTTTGCTTCTACATATTCTTAAGTTTCTGACTGCAAGAAACTTCCCAAACTCCTACTATTTTGCCTGTCTCCTTTCCTTGCTCAGTCTGAGACTATAATAAACCAGGAAATGAAACATTTGTCTTTCTCAATCCAGTACCCTTTTTTTCTGCACCAAGCCCTCACTCTAATACTATCACACAGATTAGTTCAGTAGAACTTAACTATTTGCGGTTAAATTTGTCATGAACTGCTTTCACCCACTAACATGCAAATGCAGCTAACAACTTGAGTCAAATACCAAATGACTGTTCTCAGTCATCAACTAAAAGTCCAAAATGAGGCTTCGGTACTTTTCCAGTACTCTAACTCTGTGATGCCTGCTACTTCCTTTTAGTGGGGGTAGAGAGGAATAAGGCTATTCTTAGGGGCAGTAGCAACACAGTCTAGCCAAATTTATTTTTTTAATGTGGCTGACCTGGTAAATTGCTAAAAAGGAAAGGTGAAAGCAAAGTGATATAAAAAGCAAAGCTTTTTTGCAAATCCAGTATTTGCTGCTCTGGGATTTTTTAAACCGCTTCAGATCTTCGTCATTAAAGGTGGAGGTGCATCTTACAGAAGAGTTATATTTCCAAGTTAGTGCTGAGGGTGGAAGTGAGGATAGTTAGAATGTTCCTTGAAAATTCCTTAGGAAGCTGCTACAGTAGAGATGGGCATGTTAAAACCTTCATTTTTAACATCAGGTAAAGTATTTGGTTTACTTTTTATTATTTTGGCAAGAAG